ATCATGAATTTACTGATTACTTTAATTACTTTAAGTGGTAAAACTCAATAATTATTGCGCCATTTTTATTATTTTCAAATCTATAACGCTGTTTAAATAAAACTGATATTTAAATATCAATCATTCATTAATCAATATAAAATTTTGATTTCTAACTGATTAACTAATATTTTTCGTGATAAAAAATTTGTTTAAAAAAATTTTCACTTTTTTTGTGTACAAAAAATGATGTTTTGAGTTCTAATTATAGTAATAATTGCGTTTAGCTCATAAATTGTAAGCTATATTATACTTATTTATAATTTTTGTTGAAAAATAATAATGTCTAATTTGATCTCATTAAACTTTAGGTGATGGACCATAGACAGTTATGTTTGTTTACATTGTTACTGATATCAGTGTGGGATCTAAGCAGTCTGCAAAAAGTAATAATTTCATTTCATTTAATTTAATATAACAATTTAATTTAATTTTCTTACAAACAATTTAACCATTTTCGTATTATCAAAGAAATTTAATCTTTTGTTAAAACTATTCTTTAGTGATATTGCAAAGTTTTGATTTTTAACAAAAAAGTGATCAAAAATATTTTACCAACTAAATCACGCCGTTTTTTCTTAGATTTTGAATATAATAAAGTGATAATCACAAATGTGAAATTTTTTTCTGGAAATTTCATATTCAAAGTTATAATTTTCAAAAATGTTCAAAAAATTACTGTTTATTTCAAGTTTCTAAAAAATATTGAAAATAGAACTGAAATTATTCAGATTAAATATTAAGGAGTATTCTTATCATTTTAAGTGATCCGTAATTAATTATACCAAAAGACTAATAAAATAAAATTATTAAATACATTAAATCGCTTCTAAACTTCTGGTGCTAAGAAACAGACAGCACTTTACTGATAATTTAATATCGGTTTACTGGCTAATAACTTTTTTATTTCTTTGATTCTTTTATTATTTAATGATTCATTGGTGCACTTCAAATTATATGCTTCAAATTACTATAAAAAAAAATCACGTTTTACGCGTTTCATAGTTACCTGGATCGCAAGACTTATTGGCATTACTTAAAACGTTAAATTTTCCGTTTCCAAATGTTTTACCAAAACTGCCACTTTTGCCAATACCTGGAAGAAAAAAACTTTACGGTTTGCCACCATTACCTAATTATTCTCCAAGTAAGTACATAAGCTATTCATCAATCTATATGTATTAATTTTATAAAATTAAAAATTTTTTATATTAAAATGTAGTACATTTTAATAGTTTGTAACAAATAATAAATAAAAATGCAAATAAAATAATAAATCATTCAGTAATATCTTTTAATTACTTTTTATAAAACTCTTTCAGTTTTTGTTCCGTTATAATTTATTTATTTTATATTTAGCAAAAGATAAGACACGGAAACAAAAAATTTTTAGTATTTTATACTTAAAAAGTATACTTTTTAAGTATAAAATACTAAAATACGAAAAATAACGAGCAAAAAATTATTGAGTGATTTTAATGCAAGCAGAATAAATGCTTTTTTCTTGAGATTATTTTCCGCGCAAATAATTTATGTACGCAATTCGAGATCAAAAGTTATGTCTCATATAAAAATTGATAAAAATACTTTATTTTGATAAAATGATAGATTAAATATTATCACTTGATAATTCAATAATTTCATGAAGTAAATATTAGTTTTATTCTTTTCAACAACAAAAAAAAATTGTCACTGAAACTGTCCATATTAGCAACAGAAGCAAATTATCATGATATTTTCTTATCAAAAATCTTTTTTAATAAAAGTTATGGCATTTGAAAAACATAAATATTACTCGGAAATTTTATGCATTGACTAATATCAAAAATAAGTTGATGTAGTTCTGATAATCAAAATGATAATATTGATCATCGCGAGAGATCTCTAAAAACAAAAGAAATACTGTAAAACTCCTAATTTTTGAATTACAATCATATTAATCACAATCCTAATTACTTTCTGATCAAATAAAGGGATAATACATGCCTTATTTTTAAAAAGTTAAATCATACTAGAATAAAATTTATTTGGATTAATCACAATGGCTATAAATGATTAAAGTTACTGGTCATAATTGAAGATTTTTGTAGATGCATAAATTCCATTTACTATAAAGCCAAATTTTTCAAATAATATTAATCAAATTTAGAAAAACAATAAAATTATTAATAGACACTTAAATTAAGTCATCTATGACAGTTTTCTTTATCATGCAAATAACTATTTCAAATTACACAATTTAACTGTTCTGATTACATAATTTAATGCCACAAATTAATGCAACATAAATACTTTAACTAAGAAATAATAAATCTTCCGATATCAGATTTTTGAAAATTTTGTTAATATCTAGTTTAATGTACACTTATAATTAAGTAAGTGCTCAAGAACAATTTTTTAAAAGTAAATTCTATATTTTAATAAAACTGTTAATTTACATATGTGCTTGATATTTTATATCAAATTTAGATTATTTAGGAAACTTAATTAGATCAACATTATTTCCCATACCAGCTCTTCTATTTAAGCCATTAACTTTCCCGCGAATTACTTTACCTCCACTACCAAAATTTGATAACTATGGTTAGTTGATTTTATTTATTGACCTATTTTAAACTTTAAAACTTGAATAATATTTCCAGCAAATTTGAAAATTAGATTTGAATGAATAAAAATTTTTATGTTTGAAATATCATTAGTGATTGATTTCTGAAAGTATTTTTTGTGATTAAAATGCTTTTGAAGTTATAAAAAAAATAAGATACTTGAGAGTAATTAATTGAAATTATTCAAAACTAATCACTTTTCTTTTATAAAAGGTAGTAAGGTTTGCTTTGATAATTTTATGCTTAAAAATAGTTTATTCATTAATGTGAAATTTGAAGTTTAATTAAAAGGTATCAATACCATACCGGAATTACCACCACAGCATGAATCAATTTACAATGGAATGTTTGCTCCAGATGGTAGTTTAATTAAAAAAAATAAAAATGATTCGTCAAAAGATAAGGGAACTGAAACGAATCAGGTCTTGAATATTTGATATTTTTTAGATCAAAAATTATTATCAAAAAAGAAAAGCTCTTTAGAAATTGCCTAAATTTTAAATGCAAAAGGTTTTTTTTAATATTTCAGATTGCTAATTCTAGTAGTTGAATGCTAAAGCAATTTAATACCATCAGGTTTTTAGTGTATTATGAAAACAAAATATGTCTGAAACTTATTTGTTTTAATTAGGAATGACAATTTTACTTCATTAAATTTTTTTTTAAAACTTACAAAATTATTTTATCAAGCACAGTTGTTATTAAAATACAGTATATTGAACATTTTAACTTTTTTCTAGTTTTATAATCAAGAAAAGTCAGAAGACACGAATGAAACAATGCAAGGATCACGTAAAGTACGAGCAGAAACTGCAACCAGCCCAATTGTTCACGATGATCAGGATAGACATATTGTTAGTTTTGTTTTACTGTATTTAATACTAGATCCTTACTATTTTGTTCAAACGTTTACTCAAAAAAAAGTAAAATTTGAAAAATTTAAAAATTGAATTCAAAAACAATTATTTTTGAAATGTTTGGATAGAAAAGTGATACAGCATATATTTGTAATAACTTTCTACCATTTGATTTAAAAGTATATCTATATCTTTTATTTTAAATAACGCGTAAGTACGCTTTAAAATGAGTAGTATATATGCGTGCAAGTACAAAACACAGAGTACTGATCGTAGATGTAATTCACGAGTTATTTTGATAAATTCAATTTTGTGAAGTCGAAATAATATATTATATAAATTCAGGATGAAAAACTTCTTAATGATCAAGAATATGATCAAAATTTAGCAAACTTTTTGTGGCAGAATATTGCTAAACGTAGTAATGATCAAGTTTTTCAATCAGCAAGAACAACCGATAGTATTATTATCGATAAAATAACACACAAATCTATAAAAGTAAGAAATTTTGTGAATTAATATAGAAAATTTGTTTTTGCAAAATATTTGTTTTTATTAATATTATTATTAATGCTTGAAACAATTATAGAAAGCCACACCTGTACCTGCACTTCATTCTTTGAATGCAGAAGAAGCGCTCACTACAAGTACCCAAAAAAGTGGTATAAATTTTACAGTATGGGTCATATAGTTTATATTTCCAATTTTTGAATTTAATTGCAGTTTGTTTAATTAATGTCAGTAACAAACTGTAAATAATTAGTTTTGCTATTTTTAATTTACAATTTTTTAACATTAACATTCCTTATGAGTTATTACTATTGTAACTGATGAATGATAGTAATAACTGATATTTATCATCAAGTTTACAGTTTGTTTCAATTTCCTACATTTTCACTTTCTAATGCATTCAATTTTCCCCTTGTTTTATTTTAAAAAAGAATAAAGAATTTAAACTAATTTTATTACGTGATTAATAACTTTAAAACTATCTTTTTCAGTGTTTTAAATGTGTTTTATTTCAAATGTTTTTTAGAATTAACAGAGCTTAAAGTAAAGTCAACAACATTAACACGCCTAGCAATTGTTAATTCTAAAGAAGGTAAAAAAATTTATTGAAACAAACGCAGCAAACAGTATTGATACGTTTTTGCACTGTTTGTTTTAATTTAACTTTATCATATAAAACAAATTAATGAAGTAATGATAGTAATAATAGACATGAAATTATTATTTGAAATATTTTAATTACTGAAAAGTTACTCATAAAGCAAAATTTATTTAAGATTTGTAAATTATTATTTTAGTTCAATTTTGCATCATAGAGCAGTCATTTAACTTCTGAATTATCACTTAAGAAAAAACATATGTCAGAATCATCACTTAAGCACAAATAGTGGAACCATCATTCAAATTATCCTCTTCAATTTAATACTTAGCATGAGAAGATGCAATAAGTATTTCATTACTGTAATATTCCTTTTGTATAAATTTAAAGATCTATAGAGTCTAATAATTTACATTATTTGTAAAGTTATCATTTTAAGGCAAGCTTTTAATTCCCAAATTCACTTGCATTTCAAATAGTATTTATAACCAAATATTTTAAAAATATTTCATGATTTTTAAAAATTTTTCTAGAAGTACGAGCAGATAACGATGAAAATGAATTACTTTCAAATAAATCAGAAATTGATTCCATACACGTATATCCTATGGAATTAACAAATAATCAAGGAGGAATAATTCAATCAAAGGATAAACGCGCATCCACAAATCCAATCTTCGATCAAACAACTATTCGGCCAATAATTGAAGCTTTTCATTCAATTATTTTGAATCGACAAATTAGTCAAAATAGAAAGTCAGAAATACCTCCAGAAAATATGCAACCAAATTCACAATATCCTTCACCAATAGGACAAAATAAACTAGCAAGAGAATGGGATACAAATTCATTTCAAGATCAGCTTTGTACAGAAGAATTCGCTTCATCTAGTTGTAATACACATCATAATTTTGAGAATATTACACAGAAATTACTAAGTGAAAAGTATAATACGAAGTCTAGTACAGATCAAAATATTATGAGACAAGCAGTCAGCTCTGCGCAAGCACAATATTACAGCAATTTTCATAAACCAATTACTAAAGCTCAATCAGTACGTAAATATGAAGAAACATTTATTCCTCTATCACGATCATCAAAAAATCAGTCATATACTAACCAATTAACAGTTTTACTTGCACCTGTTGATGTACAATCACAATTACAACAATCAAATCAAGCAGTAAGTTTTTCAACAAATAATTCCGATCACAGAACTTATTTGTTAGCATTTGATTATTATATGAATGGTATCTAAAGCTAAATTTGTAGTAACTCGTTTTTATTAGAATATTAATAAACATTCCATAATTTAAATATTATATTCCAAATACTTTTTTTTAGCTTGATAAGGCTTGAAATATAAAATAAAGTTTCCCAGCCAACCTAAACTGAGACTATTGATAAACTTTTTTATATAGCTTACTTTTTAATATTATATTGTTCTAGCATGCAGCATTACTGCCACCTTGGAATTTACCTGTAATGCAAAAAAATTCAATCCCACAATTTTATTACTACTATTATCCTGATCAAATCTATCAATACCAACATGAGCAAATCATTTGATATGAATGATGCAAAAGATCAAATGGATATGAGAAACATTTCAGAGAATCTGAAAATAATTTGGTATTTTATTAATTCAATTTAAATATTTTAAAGTTGAATTATGTGATAAAGTAGGAATTAACTACAGAGTATTTTGACTCAAATGTTATACGTTTTTAAACAAATAAAGTTAAAAATCTGAAAAAATTACAATGTTGCAACTAATTAAGTTATTTCATTCTTTGATGTTTACTAGTACAAATAAATATTTTTTAGCGCCACATTCTTAATAATTAAGCAACAATGCTTGCTGTATAAGATATCAAACATTAATCACTTTACATTATTACTAATTTTAGTACTTTTAAACGGATGGGAAAAAGCGCACTTTTATTACACAAATTTTTAACTGCAAAAGTGTTGAAAAAGCTAATGACTTATATAGTTAAAATATAAACTATGCTACTCTTTATAGTCTCATTCAACTAATAAAATTTGTTTGATTATTTGTATATTGTCAAATATATTAGAGAATAATAAATGAATAAAAAGTATTAAACTCATAATTTGTATAATTGAGTTTTATTCAGTCACAAATTATCATTACCATGAGGAAAACAAACTCAACACGTGCGTCAATGGCGTAATAAAGTTGATCAAAACTAAATTCTTCAAATTATTGCATCAATATTTTTTTTCAGATCATTCAGATGCAAGCGGAAACAAGTATTCACATGCGATTCAATTGTCACATTATTATAAATCACATTCAAAAACTGATACGACAGAATTGAAATATTTAATTATAAAACTATAGTTATACATTTGGGTGGTAAAAACCTTTACATTGTGTCACATGATCAAAGTTTATAGGAAGATTAAAGTTTACACTTGCTTAAAACCTAATTTAATCTAACTTAAAAACCCTAAATTTATTAGTAATCGAGGGTCAACAAATTTTACTTAAACTTATTATGACCGACTTTTTTCTTACATTAAAATTACGATTAATTGTAAAAAAGCCAATGCAATGTTCTGTAAATTAAAAAAGGTCGAAAAGCCATTTGTACTATTATTATTTGTATGAAATAAAGAAATCTGATGTGTTATTTTCATTATTCATTTTTTTTGCAAAAAAACATTTCTTTGTTTGGCATTAAAAAACTGTATATAGCCATTGAACATACAATTTGTGCAGTAAGTAAATCATTCTGTAAACTTGTGCTATATAGGAAACAATTCAGTTTACAGCGCCAAATTAATAATATGGAAGGTAAAAGTCTCGTTCCGTGAACTTTTGAAACTATTAATAGGAATATGTTGTTCATAGTGTTGTAGCATCAAACGCAAAATGTTCGAGGAATCGACTTCCTAAAAGAAATTACCGGTAAGTAATCCCCCAAATATATTTCTTGGGATATAATTACCTATAGGGTAAGTAATCTTTACGGTATATTTCCTTTGACATATCCTGTACAAGCTCAATAAGTACCATATTTTCAGTATCCAGACTGAAAATATTGAATTGGCTTACCCAAATCGATTACAAATTTGTAACTTTTAATACGATAGTATTTCAGGTCTGAAATTTCTATTTTTTGATAGAAGAAAATATAAGTCGATTATGCAAATTTTGTGGAGAGCAGTTTGCAAAAGACTTAATAATTTTCAAGCGGAAATATGAAGTAAACAATTAAGCATATATTCAGTTCACGTGTTGTCAGATCAAACATTGATTAAGCTTTTTCATCTTTTTCAGCCACTTTTGATTATATTACAAAAAGTTTGCCAATGACAATCCACCGAAATTACTTGCTTTCGAGCACACCAAACCGATCACTCACTCATAGCATCAAATTATTCCAAATAGAGATGCTTTCAGAAGCTTCGATTTGTGAAGGCTGCGAATGATTGTTTCCAGATTAGTGATATTTTTTCTGTACATTAGAGTACGAAAACATTCAATTTCAGGTAAAATTTATGAATTCATTCAAATTCAAGCTTTCCTCGAGACTATTTACTCTCATATGCTAGCACTTTATTCGCCTTTTCAAGAGATCTCGTTATTCGCGACCTGATCATTGTGCAGAAATCACTGCTGTATTTATTATCAAATGATTATTAACGGAATTGAATTGTAATCAAAGTTCAAACTTAAAAATAAATTGTTTTATATTTCGATATATAAACGTCACCCGAAGGAAATCGGTATATCTGATAACGTAGAGACGTATATCCAGTCAGTAGTGCTAAGAAAACGCTCGAAAACATCTCATTCGATCAGTGCCGTGGATTCGATGAGGACGAAGCAGCGGGGATCAGTAGAACTGGGCATGGGGCGAGTGCATCGAGAATGCCAGAATATGATCTAGCGCCAGAATCAATTATGAAAAAATGAAGAATAATCTCTGTGTGATATTGCTGATATTTTGATATACATATATCATGATTCGACGATGGAAGTGAATGGTGGAAATATCAGTGCGATCAGTTGCGACAATAAGCATAATGGTATACAATCAACAAATGCTACAACGGGGGAAATGGTAGTAATACGAGAGAACATTCTAGTATTCAAATAGATCAGTTATCTAGTGGCTGGAAACGAGTCTCTTATGAACGTTCTACATCACAGATGACTTCCAAGAATCGAAAAGAAGTAACAGACCATGACGACAATTCTCATGCAACCCCTTGTTGCAGCACTTCTGAAGCAACGAAGACGAAACAGGGGAAGAAGGGAAAGGAGAATGGTACGCATGGCATGAGTAAAGCATAAGAAGACTGCTGGGATTTTATCTCGATCAAATTGATCGCAGAAATGAGAGATAGAGTTACAGAAGTTTGCTGGACATGTTGTAGTTCCAGTTTGGCTGAACAGTTTGGATGAAAGATAATGTAATATATTGTTTAAGCAAACTTGGATCAGTTTATCTTTATTAAATAATTTTAAGCTTGCAATCATGCGCTAGATTGAAAACTATGGAAGCATTGTTGGAAAAATCAAAATTGACACTGACTGTAGTATTTTCTGCAATTACAGTCTTGATTTTAAAAAACGCTTCATTGTTGTGAATAATATTAGTGATATGAGTTTACAAAACGTGAAGAATTTCGCAATTATATGTTTACAGTCACGTAATTATACACTTTGAAAGTATAAATATGCAGCAGATAATTTCAAATACGGCATTTATAAGTCAGTAAAGAAAGTATACGGTAATGGAAATATATTCTAGATTGATTCTATCGATGAGTTACATATTTGGAAGTACAGTAAACAATGCTGTATTACAATATACTTAATATAATTTAGTACAAAATTAATCTAGACAGTACAGTTTGCAATAAAATAAGGAAGACGAAGTTTGGTCAATGCTATCAAATTACAATAAAGCAAAAATATGGCCGTTTGTTATATCTGAAATTTCTTAAAACGATACATCGCAATTTACTCACTCCAAAAATATTCCACCAATAGTTAGTTCCTCTAAAAATCGACAATTCATTAGTTTCTGAAAATATACTTTAGAAATAATATTATATTTAGGTGACTATTCAGATTCCTTCAATTAATAATGCATGTAAAGTATTTATTCCTTTTCAATATGCTAAAGTTTTGCAACTATGGAAAATAATTTAATTTAGTAACAGTTTCTGAACAATTTAAATTTTGTAAATGAGCAAAATGTTAGTTTCATTCTCGAAATATTCAAAAATTATACATTTTTTATTAGAAGTGATGAACATTATCATACTATAATCTTAAAAAAGAAGAAAAATAATGCACTAATAACATTTTGAATATCCTATAATATTAATTCAGAAATAAAGTTTAGTTAATTTCTACGACTCTTTAATCTTCTTCGTTAAAAATTATACAAGTGGTGAATGTCAACCTTACTTCTCTTAACTTCAAACTTGAGATATTAATAATTATATATCTGAAAAATAAAGATTTTTAAAGAAACCTTTCAAATAATATTTAAAGTTAATCGTTTCAAGTCGTATGAATGAACAGACAGGCAAGAATTTTTACGTATTCTTCATCCTTTCTCACTTCGCTAATTTTATTATTCTCAAGCAAAATAAAAATTTTTTGCAACTCTTTAAGATAAATTAAGAATTTTTATTTATTATATTAGATAAAAAATCTACCTTTTGACTTAGATTTTTTTTATGATCGTAAAACTGCATGTTTTGCACACTGAAATGGGGCAAAATTTTACAGAAACGAATATGATATGCGCTGATACACTTCTACAAACCATTTTGTAATAATAATTTATCATTACTACAAGTTCATATACCATTTCTTGATAATTTATAATTTTCGCAGTATTCATTAAAAACTCAAATTTACTAATTAAATCAAATCGACATCACAAACCATCAAAAGTTCGAATTATTAATAACTTCCTGCTGAAAGAAGACATTTACATCTTATCGATTCATAGTTCTTGAAATTGAGTTATCAGAGCACTAGGAAGGTCACGGTATGGGAAACTGAACTGCTAGTACTCCGATACTAATGAAGTACATTAGAGGATGTCTTCTTTGAGTGATCAGAAGAACTTTAACCTATAACCCTTTGTGTTAGAAGAGAATTATTGAAAGGAATCTTAGAGAAGTGGAAAAAAGCACAGTAAGCATTCGTGCGGAAGTAATGATCTTAACTATCACTATCTGTAATAAATACTTTGTGCTTACCTCTTTGAATTGTTTACTTTTTTCACCGTAACATTGTATTTAAATTGCCATTTTTATAACACAAATTCACAAAAACCAAGTTGAAATAATGTTGGCACCTATATTGTGTTTGATCTACAATTGACAATTGAGAAAGATACTGTGGATGAGAGATTTAAGATATGAAACGAAAACTAAAAATTAATGAATCTAAAAAAATAAAAAAAAATACCGTACCTCATCTTGCGGGGTAATGTTCCCGTATCGCAGCCATTTTGATGAACCAACTATGGGCAAGATTTTATTCGTCCATATCTTGTATAGCTTTGTATGGTGGGTTTTCTTTTCTATTTCGCTATACAAGAACGCCTTCTGGGCTGCTAATACGTTTTCAACGAGAGGATTTTCTGCGAGGTTGTACTTAGTCTTTAGATAGGGTACAATAATTGCCACGTACTTTGTCCTGCTTCAGAGTAGCTGCCCTTCTGGTACAAAATGAGTGCAGTACTTACAAGACATTATGTAGTCGGAGAAGCATAAGCTCGCCCTTTTATTCAGCATTGTGAAGTTGACGTAAAAGCTCGTCCGTCCCTTGCATGGCAGGTGCAGTCTTTCCAAGCATGCAGGTTGCTTGTGAATTCCGTATCTGATTAGTAACTGCCTGATATCGCTTTGAGATCTTTTTTTAATTTTCCTATCATTTGTCACTGCTTCATCTACAGTGTTGGCTTAGAAGTCAATTGCAGTATGAATATTTATTCTGATACTAGCGATGAATGCATGATTACGCAAGTAAGAAGTTTCATTTCACTGAAGAAAAAATACTTTGCAGAGTTAGTAACATAAGTATTTCTTGTCCAATCCAGACGCTGTGATTAGTTCTTCACAAGTTTACGTTTTCCCTTATACGTCCAAAACCATAAAAAAAGCAATCAACT